TTCATGCACAGTTCAGACACCTGTTCTTCCAGGTCATTCCCTAATGTCTTCACTGCTACATTAATGCAGATTATATGGAATGACTATTTACAACAGCATTTCTCAAACTTGGTAACTTTAAGACAGGTGGGACTTTAAAACCCCAAAATTCCCCCCCACCATTTGGGGGGGGGGGGGTTGTGGAGGTGTTAGACCCCCCCCCTGTCTCAAAGTTGCCACGTTTGAGAAACACTGACTTAAAAGCTTCTGAAATTTCACTGTTGCAAATGCAGTAGCTCAAATCAATCAGTTGGAATTCTATTTTTCAGTCGCGCTAGACTAATATCACACCAGTTATAATCCCATTTCGTATCAGCTACAGGCCTATTCTAGCAGAATGCTCTTTTCAGTTTGCTGATTTCTAAACTGGGCCTTCTCGATAGCAACTGCATAACTGCCATTGAAAACAGACCTGGGATAACCTGGTGGTCTTCCATCCAAATTCTAACTAGGGCCAACACTAATTTCTTTTTCTTTTTCTCCTTTTGGAGATCACCTTAGGTCAGCTAGATGTTATCTAGGAGAAGCTTGAAAAAAACAAACTGTACTCAAGTCCACCAGGCATTTTACAATTCCCTCCTCCCACTAGCCCCCCGCCTTCCCTCCCCCCCCCACTTTAATACAGACACTGCATTCCATCAGGACAGACGTGGATAAGATTGCACACATTCAGCATTTATTAATCCTAAAAATAATTTCAAAACTCCTGAGCATGCAACTCCTAACGAGGCTGGCTTTATTCATTTAGTCGCTCCTTTAGAAGAGGAAGAAAAGGCCATTCAAGGAAAGCCACGCAGCCTGGAGCTGCTACACGCCTCAACATTCACGGCTCCAAATCAAACATCCAAGGCAACTCCAACTGATGGAGCCCAGCCTGCGTCCTCAAAGGCCTCCTTGGAAGTCCAACGAAGGGGAAACGCGTGCGGGAGAAGGGCCGTGTCACTCAGAGGTTGTCTGGAGAAGGTTCCCTGATAGCTCCAAGGGCGAAAAACTCCCGCCAAAACCTCTCAGGGTGCCAAAACTCCCTATCCGTAAGACCGGTCTAGATGGTGCTAAACCATGCCGTGGTTTAATGGCTTCCGGTTGAGCTTCTGCTACAAACTCAGCCACCCGGGCTTGTAAGCCAGGGCTTGGCCTGTAAACCCAGCCAAGTGTAATTTATTCAATAAGCCTTAGTTAAACAAGCAAGCCACAGCTTTAGGGCAAGGGGAGAACCCAACTAAAGCCTTTGTAAATGAGCAACGGCCTCTCAGAAAACCTTTTCCTGCTTTCCTCCCAAACAAACCCCAGTCCGGTGGGGGAGGCAGAAGAGCCCCCAGAAAACCTGTGGGGCCTTGTTGACATGCACCCCAGTAACGTGGCAGGGCCGGACCGTCCCCAGCACCGTCTGTACTGCGCAAAACCAGCCTGCCTGTGGTAGAAGAGCAATGGGGGCTCTTCATCCCACCTGCAGCACGAGGCCCCTTCCTGGCCCTTTCCCTTTTTTCGGCCTGGTTCTTGCCGTTACGCACCAAGCCCGACCTTGTACATGCTCTCCAAGGGAAAGCAAAACCAAGAACCAAACCCCAACTGAGCATACAAGCCCTTCTCTAGTTTGTTTTCATTCGGAAAAGGCAGCAGCAGCCAAGAAGTTGGCAGGGGAAGCCTGGACTTTTGGTCGGAGACCAGACCACCTTCCCTCTACACCAGTGTTTCTCAACCTTGGCCGCTTGAAGATGGGTGGGGAGTTCTGGGAGTTGAAGTCCACCCATCTTCAAGCGGCCAAGGTTGAGAAACACTGCTCTACGCACACAGACACACACCCTCCCTCCCCGTCAATCCTGCTGAGGCATAAGCAGCCAACGCCAGCCCACTGCAGAGCTCCTTGGCACGGCTGCAGGTCTGGGGACGTGACAGCAAGTCATGCACTAAAAATATCCAAAGGACTCAGAGATAGAGTTCTGTGCAAACAAACCCAGTGGTCTTCAGCGCCAGGAAGAGGCACGGCTGCTTGCCACCCCCGTCTCACCTCCCTTGCATTCCCTCCCCCCCGCCGGGTCCCTCCACCCAAAATGCTCCATGCTGGGCACGGCTTGCCAGCTTGTAAGCAGCAACTGCTCCTGCTCCCCCAGACAACGTCGAGTTCATCTGAGGAGAAGGCATTTTTCTCTTCCCAAGTTTGACTTGCGCCAAGCTGACACATCATGCTGGTTTCCCAGGCAACGGGAAGAGGGCAAAGCAGGAATGCTAGAAACCTGAAGCAGCAAGGAGCGTCCTGCAAAGCCAGGAATTTTTTGTTTTTTTTTAACTGTGATTAGTTGAATAAGCCATAGCAGGTTGATTTGCCCAGCATGCTAAGTTATGCTGTGAGGGTTTGCACCTCACATGAAGCCCAATTTAACCAGATTATGGTTTGATATCTTCTGGGTACCATGCCTCTCTGTACGCCCTTTTCCTGAGCTTAGGAAAACCCACCCTACTTGGGTTCTGAAGAGCCTGTTTCTTGGGAACAATCTCAGCCAGGGCCAGCTCTAAAAATGATTGCTTCTGGAAGATTCTGGATGAGGAAGGCAAGGAGCTAGAAGAGTGAGGCAGATGCTTCACTGCCTGGTCTGCATCCCCTAAATTACTCTGCTGCTTAAAGGAGATGTCCAAACATCAGGGCTGAAGGAAGATTCCATCTTAGTTGGCCTTCGCACTTGGAATAGGAAGGAGTATCATCTCAAGGAAGCCACATCTCTTCGTCATTATCTTAAAAATTGACAAGTTCATACAGGATAGCAACACTCCAGATACCCACGGTTGGGGCTGCCTCCAAAACCACAAAGAGAGCACTAGCTAACAGATGCTCAAAAGGCTAAATCCCAGAGCATAATGTTCTGGACCAGTAGACGTTTCCAAACAGCCTTCAGATAGCAACCCCCCTCCCCAACACAATTCAAGTAAATTAAACTTGAAAGTTACTAGAAACAGATGGAACTGGAGCAGAGAAGGAAGGGCAGTGCCAGTTGTACACACCTGTACCAGTTGGTAAGTGTCATCATGATGTAGAGGGAAGCCAAGAGGAGGCAGATATGGAAAAAGGTATAGTTGTAAGACACTCCATCCTCCTCATTGTCATAAGCCCGGTGCACCCCATCTTCAATGTTAGTGTTTCCACCCCCTAGCATAGCCGGGCTTTCTTCTGTTAGCATCATCTTGTTCACCTGCGTGTGGTCCGAGGAACGGAGGCTAAAATCAAAATAAATGAGACCTAGTAGGTTTATCTGCAGTCAGTATCACCACCCCTCCTGCTCCCCCTGCATACTCACAATCCATTATTTGCTTATCAGTGGAGAAATTCTTTGGATCCATTGCTTTAAAGCTTATGGACCCTTTTAAATCCAGCTTTGTCAAGAGCATAGCACAGGGTAAATGAAGGAATCACCTGCAATTCCTATGGCCTGCTTTAGAAGCAAGTACTTTGGGGACATTTGGTATTTTGAAAATAGCTCATGGGAGCTCTTTTAAAATTGCTGCCAAGGTGGATCCAACCAGTCACCAAACCTCCATTTACCAGAAAGCAAACACACGTGAATAAGGATGTGTAAAACTCTCAGAATTGGGAACAGAACATTCTGGAGAATTTGGGAATGTTCCGTTTCCTTTCCAGACCATGCCACTCCAGGGGTGATGTGGTGGTTTCTGGAACTTAATCCTCCAAAGCAGAAGCTATTTGTGGTGTACCAGGGATGATCAACACTAAAACAGGACTGCAGACCACCTCAAACTCCTTCCAGCTTGGAGGGTTTACTTAGACAACCGTCTAAGTTCCTGGAATGGTTAGGTCTAGAGGAGATTCAGCACAGTCTAAAGGGAAATCAGAACATTCCAGCCTTCTCTAGAGTGGTCTATTTCAGGATCTGTGAATATTGTACATCCTTACAAATGAGACTGATCGTCACCAAAATCCTCAAGTCCCACCCCTGGTAACTTCATATCACCATCACCTCCTCAGTTCTTCTTTGCCTTTCTTCCTCCTTGACAGGTTGACATTTCCAAAGCACCAGGCTACAGCCCACCAGTGCTATTTCCAAAGAATGCCTATAGGGACTATGCAAGGTCCACAGGCACTCTTCTCAATAAAGACAATGCTATCGTGTGGGAATTTGCAGCACGCCAACTTCCCATTTCATTATGTCTCATTAAGTGTATCTAAATCAAACGGCCATCAGGTGGGGCATGGAGTCTGGCACACCCCTGAGATATGACAGTGTGACCACCAGTGTTGTATCTGCACATCTGTCCCACCCATCTGTCCCACCCCAGAGAGAGGAGGAGGAACATCTAGCCTGGGGTAGAAGTACCACATGGGGAAAAAGCATAAATCCCACACAGCTTGGTTTTGCTCCCATACCAATAAACACTTCATGTGATATGGTTTTGTCCTCAGCTTTTATTGAAATGTGATTAGATGCACCAAGAGAACAGTCTTCATAAAAGTATAAATATAAAAAGTATATAATATAATATAAAAAGTATAAATACCTACCAGGTTGGTTAAAGCTGTACTTTCAAGGAAGAGACTACAAGAAGATTGTCTTAACCATTTTAACCCTTCCCACTCTTCCAAATAATCTGTGCTTAAGACTCCTGAGAATACCACGGATAGCCAAGAAAACAAACAATTGGATCACAGAGCAAATCAATCCAGAATTTTCACCCAAGGCACAAATAGCCAGGCTCAAATTTTGGAGGTATTATGCAAAGACCCAGCTCCCTTGAGAAATCCATCATGCGGGGAAAAGGAGGAAGGAAAGAGAAGAGGAAGACCAGCGGCAAGTGGATGGACTTGATTATAGTGGTGATGGGTGCACCATTGGAAGATGAGAAGGACCAGGTTTGGGGACAGATCATCCCGGAGAAGGTCTATCTATGTGGTGGCTCAGAGTCGACATTGATTTGATGGCATGTATTCAATCCATCAAATCAACACTGAGAGCAATTTACCTCCCATGACCAGCAGAGGGAGTCCTGAAGCTAAACAGAGATGCTCAGTGTACAGAAGAGAGCTCTGCGACGCATTGTCGGGCACGGAACAATATCACATTACACCACAATGGGATTTGTTCGGTTTTGGCTTAGGATGCAGACATGCTGACCTGCAAACCAGTTGATGGATTAGCATGTTCTGTAAGCCTAATCAATTTTGTCATATTCAAAAACTAATAGTTAAGCCAACCAATTCATGCAGATCTGGATCCTCACCTTATGAAGAGGGTGCAGAAGACAAATATGATTAACCCTACAATGCTTGGGGCATCCCACCATTGAGTTGGCTGGCCATTCACAGGCTGAGCAGCTGTGCCGTTCCCTGCCGTTCTTACCAAAAGAGTTGGATTGCAGCGTTTGTCTATGAAAAGGAGAGAGAGAGAGAAATCCAGTGTGTGCTCCATTTCAAGCATGGCAGTTGCCTGCCCCTCAAACACTCCCAGGCTTGCTGGTTGATCAGGTCCTCCTCAGAAGTGAGGTAGGAATGCTCACCCACCTAACACCAGGAATGGGCTTAGCCCTTTTCTCTCCCTCCAGCATGAAATGCCCCCTTTGTGAGAAAGCTTTTTTCCCCTAGAAGAGGGCACCTGGCCTGAATCCGTAGATGACAGAAAACTGGCAAAAACTAACAGAAGATGTGTCAGTCCAAGAATCCAGGAATGTCTTTTAGAGGAATTAAATGAATTAAGAGGGGTTCTCCCAAGAACCAATGCCATGAAGACTGGAAAAACACAGATGGCTGGTCAAGATAGTCCCCACTATCCCTTCCAGCTCGTACATTCTAGAGTCCTAATTTCAAGGACGGGATCACACGTTGCACTAAGTGAATTGAGGAGTTTTGGCTTAAGAGTCCTGGTGAACCCACCCACTGTGGTTTGTAAAACACAGCTTAGCACAGGGTGAAATCGAATAACTATGGTATATTCTACGACTGCAACCCATGGTTTGGCACAACATATATGAAAGAGGTCTAAGGGAAACATTGATGAAGCAGATGAATCTTTTTTCTGATCCAGCAAGGATCTCCTTAGATTCTTCAGCTTATGAAACAAAAAGCTGGGCAAATGGCACTCAGAGAAAAGAAATTCAGATCCTGGTTCACCTGTGGCATTTAGCCATGACTTAATCATGGTTTATTGAACAAACCACAACATACTAAGCCCAAATAGAACTATACACACTATAGCTGGTCCCAAAATGTTAACCCAACTACAGAAGTCAAAGCAAAGATCAAACACATGTCTAGTTGTGGTTCCCCAACTACAGAAGGCTGTCTGGGGTTTAGGCCCAAGCTTGTGTTGCAACTGCTCAAGCATTCCACTGATTCAAAAGCTAATGTTTTACAGGATTGATGAATTTCTCTTGGCTCGATCATGTACCGTGTTGGACATTTTTATTTCAGAAGCAGGTTCCATCTTAAAAAGGCATGAAACACTCAAAAAGACACAGAATAACACTGTTTACCTGGTACATTGGCCAAAGCTGACCATGTGACATACATAGTGTAGAGGGTAATGATGGAGGCTTGGAGAAGGCCAGAGTGAGGCTGAGCATCCTGTGGAGAAGCAGCAACTCTTGTTACAAGTATTGAAAAGCAGATTCAGGGCAAACCAGGGCCAAACTAGACACGATAATGGAGGTACCTTTGCACTAAGATACCATGATCACATTTAATTTATTTATTTATTTGGTCTAGTTGCTGTCAGCTAGCAATCAGAAGGATCCCCATCTATAAGGAGAGAGCCCCATGGTAGGCACTCTTAGTGATACCCCTTCCTATGGAACAGCCTGCTCCCTGTGGCAAGGATGGCATTCCATTCTCATGGTCTTCCAGAGGCTGGTAAAAACCTGGTTTTAGAAGGCCTTTGGTGATGATGGAGCTCCTGGTGCCTAAATCTGCTGTATTACTTTTAACAACCAAATGCAATCTGTATTATTTATCACTGTTATTTTAAGTGTCATTAATATCTGAAAACTACCTAGAATCCATTTAGGATTGAGGTGATAGAAATAAATGGTTCACAATACACTCTGAGCACAAGAACTTACCTGGATCTTGGGCAGTATGGAGACCACAGACACCACAATGCAGAAGATGAGGTTGAGGCTGATAAAGACCTTGCTTTCAGTACAGCCTTCTGGTTTGGTGTAATACACGTAGAGTAGCACGACAGCAGCAATGGAGACGGCGTAGAACAGAAAGGTGAAGAAAAACAGAGCTAAGGAAGAGGAGGAGAGAAAGGACCATTAGATTTGGCAATGTAGAACTTTCTGAGATATTTAATTAACATGCTAAATACTCGTCCTGATTCACAGCTCACAATTGCTGGATTATGCCATCATATTAGTTGTTTCTTTGCTTTTAGCTTAATGGGTTGTGTGAATGCTACCACTGTGGTTCATACATCATGGTTCAGGCTTAGCAAAGAGTGTACAACCAAAGCCCCAGAGCTCCATGCAACCCCTAAAAACCTTGGATGTGGGGGCCCTACAACAATTGCCTTTGAACTGTGATATTGAATGTGGCAGAAGGGAGAAGGTGACTGAATATAAGGGAAGTCGCCAGATTAACAGCATTGGATTAAATCAGTGCTTCTACGTAATGCTTTTTAGTAATATGGGAAAGTTGTAAACTAGGCTTCTAGCTGCACCCAGTCCACATATAGCATTCCCTACTAACAGTAAGGATAGCACCTTTCAGTCTGGGGGCATTTGGAGCAATATGCCACAAGTACAACCACATCCTATGTCCTTAGTTTTACCCTAAACATGCCCCTGCTATTCTATGCAAGCTAGGTTCTCTAGTCTACAGATTACATTGCTAGCCAACATTGTTGCCTTCACTCCAACAGCTAGGAGGTATCTGCAGTGTTAGACACATACTTAAAAGTTTTGTTCAAGCTATGTTTTTCCCTCCATTATCTCATGCCTTTAATCTCTTTGCTTTACTATTTCTTATTCTTTCTTCATGCTCTGTATAGAATTACTTATGCAAAAGAGAATAACATGAAGGACATGTAGCAAAATTTCAAATGTAGCCCCCAACACTACATTCAAACAGCACCTGTAACCCTCTGCTTGAAAATCAGCTTTGCATCCCGCTTACGTTTCCCCCACATCAGCCTTCCAGATGTGATGAACCAGAGTTCCCCCTTCTCCCAGCACATCTAGCTTTTGTCCATATTGGCTGAGCACTTGAGGAACGCCAGTCCCAGCAGATCTGGAGCATCACAGTGCGGAAAGCGATTCCTTTCTTCATCCATCCACGCTTGGAGCATCTATTTTCAAACCCAAATGAACAGATGTGCTCTGTACAGACCTGCATACCAGGACTTGCTGTTGCCTTCATCTGCATTGCGCAGCCAAATTTGACTCCAGGAGTGAGCAAAATCAATCAAGAGGATGAGCTGGATGAGGACAAAGAAGAAGGAACCAACCACGCCAAAGTAGAACCAAACTTCATTGGGGAGAAAGCACAAGAGATACAAGATCATTCCTCAACGTTCTCTCGTACCGCCATCCATTAATCAGACAACACAGGCCATGAGGAAGTCTAAATATACCACAGAGGCCTGGAAGATGGGCAAGCTTTAAAAATAATTTGGAAGCAACATGTCAGCCTTATATAAATTATAATTTCTCTCAGCCTTAATTCCTTCTGTTCCCTGTTCCCCAGTTTGGCGTGCGCTAGGCCAAATTGCATACGTACCACTAAAGCAAACTAAAACAATTAAATGACACTCAGGATTAATCTATATGTATACATCTCTCACGCACTGAGAATGCTACTCATCCTGATCCCGAGTGCCCCCCAGGTCTGAACTGCCTTTCTAAAGGGCTGCAGCACTGAGGCCAACCATATATCGAGGGGGAGATCATTCCAAACAGCTCTGCCACCAGTATGTCAGAAAGGATTTGTATATCAAAAAGGGCTTGAGCATTGATATGTCACTCCTCAAAGTATCTTAATAATCGCACAATTCATTTTCTGCTAGATGTTTTTATGCAGTTTTACAGGTTACACATTATAGAGATAGCTCCATCTCTATGTGGGCATATTTCTCTATCTTTCTATATATCTAAGAGCCAGTTTGGTGTAGTGGTTAGGGCACCAGGCTAGAAACCAGGAGACCATGAGTTCTACTCCTGCCTTAGGCATGAAAGCCAGCTGTGTGACCTTGGGCCAGTCCCTCTCTCTCAGCCCTAGGAAGAAGGCAATGGCAAACCACCTCCAAAATGGTTACAAGAAAACTGCAGGGACTAGTCCAGGCAATCGCCAGGAGTCAACACTGACTCAAAGGCGCGCGCGCACACACACACACACACACAC